GAACTGTTTTGCTTCCCGATCAATCTTTCTAGATCTGTATCTTCTCCACACAAAAAAAAATAAATAAAAATAAAAATAAAAAAAAGACAAAAAGATATATATATCAACATTTTTTCTTATGAACCACTTTTGTTGTTTAAAAACCATAAAATACAAAAAAATAAAAACAAAACAAAACCCAAAAAGAAGAAAAAATAAAAGAAACTAAGATGATGATAACCTCACCAATGTAAATCACGTATCAACCTCAACTGTGGAAGATCACATGATGATTAGAAGTCTATTGCTTCCCGGTCAATCTTTCTAGATCCGTATAGTATCTTCTCCACAAAAATAGACCCAAAAAAATATATATATCAACATTTTTTCTTACGAACCACTTTTGTTGTTTAAAAATCAAAAAATACAAAAAAAAAATAAAAACAAAACAAAACCCAAAAAGAAGAAAAAATAAAAGAAACTAAGATAATGAAAACCTCACCAGTGCAAATCACGTATCAACCTCAACTGTGGAAGATCACAGGATGATTAGAAGTCTATTGCTTCCCGATCAATCTTTCTAGATCCGTATCTTCTCTACAAAAATAGACAAAAAAAAGAAAAGAATATATCAACATTTTTTCTTACGAACCACTTTTGTTGTTTAAAAATCAGAAAATACAAAAGAATAAAAACAAAACAAAACCCAAAAAGAAGAAAAAATTAAAGAAACTAAGATAATGAAAACCTCACCAGTGCAAATCACGTATCAACCTCAACTGTGGAAGATCACAGGATGATTAGCAAAAATCAATAAAATAATTAACCTTAGTTGGGGTTGTGTATGGTCATATAAGGTGTATTTATACACAATGGATGAGATCAAAAGGGTTTAGTATTGAAATTATAAAATGGTAAGAGATCTCAAGAAAGGTAAAATCTTTAATATTATTAAAATGCCATATTTGTCTAAATATTTGATATTACAAAAATGCCTCTAAGTTTTGGGGGGAAAACTTGGCTAGGAGGATTTTACTTTTATATATATATAGATTACACCAATATATAATGTCTGCTTACATTATTACCATTGAAGAATATAAGAAAAGTTATTGTGTATGGTAATAATAATGAAAAAGATAACAAAAGTTATAACTGTAATAATATTTTTGTCCAAAAAACTGTATAGTACAATTCTTATAATATAACTATATACAAAATATTAACAGAAAAAATGGACATAAACCAGTTATATAACGTGGATTGAGAATTATTATGTATTATATATTATGATGTAATAGTCTAGTTTAATTAGTAGATCTAATAGTCTAAACTCTTTTTTATATTATGATGTTTTGATTAGGGATGGCAATTCAACCCGCCCCCGACGGGAAAAATCGATCCCCACCCCGACGGGGGCGGGTTCGGGGATTTTTTTCGGGGAACGGGGGCGGGGATGAGGAGAATTCCCCCATCCCCGCCGGGGTCGGGGACGGGGACGGGGAGGGCATCCCCCACCCCGTCCCCGGCCCCGATCCCCGATCCCCGTCCCCGTCCCTAATTCCCCGTATAATATTAAATAAATAAATATTATATATATATATATATATATATATATATATATATATATATATATATAAAATTAATAAACTTAAAAACAAAACATTCATGAACATTCACAGGAGTGCTGCCTGCCTGTGCCGACTGCCTCTATAATAAAAATAAAATATTATAATATATATAATATTAATAAACTTAATTAGTCCAGTAAAACAAAATATTATAATATATATAATATTAATGAACTTACTTATTCCATTAGTTTTGTTTTGAATACTACTAGCTCTATTACAATGTAGTATCTGTTCATATACTTTCTCAACCTACTGAAACACAAAGAGCTAATAACGCCTCCACTAAGGCTCAAACTCACAATCTTCCACATGGAAGTCCAACCCGGGTACCATTAGACCACATAGTCCTGGTACTTATTCCATTAGTTTTTATTAACTTATTAGCTATTTCATTTAGTTCAGTACTCAACAATAGTTTTGGTTTGTTTTTGTTCAGTACTTTCGATTAAGTTATTAGTTAATTAGTTTAGTTTTAATTTGTTTTGATTAACTTATTAATTACTTATTATTGTTGTTGAATTGCCGGTAAATTATTTCTTGTTTTGTTTTTTTTTTTCATTGCATAATCCAAAAAACGGGACGGGGATTCCCCGTCCCCGAAAAATCCCCGCGGGGGCGGGGATGGGGAATAATTCCCCATCCCCGTCGGGGAACGGGGCGGGGACGGGGAATGGGGATCTATTTCGGGGACGGGGACGGGGACCCCATTCCCCGGCCCCGCCCCGCCCCGTTGCCATCCCTAGTTTTGATGATGGATTGTAGACTAAGACTTATGCTACCTATGTTTGGTGATAGACACCGGAGTGTTTTTTCCCGAAGTGACTTTAATTAAGTAATTTAAATGTTAGTTTGACTTAATGATTTAGTTCTATCCTTAGACTGTGCAATCACCGTGGAAAGGTGGTTGTGGCGGTGACATTCCCACTAGTTTGTTATTTAAGCTTGTTTATCCGCTGCTTAGTTTATCTTGATTTCGGTTTTAGAACTGTAAATAAGTTTAAGAAAAGTGGGGTGTTACAAATAATATTTTAAATCATCAATAGTAAATGCATATTTTAAATAATAGTAAAAGGTAAATTAAAAATGGAACGGAAATATTTCAATAATAATATCTACATCATCAATTAAAAATAAAACAAAAATTAGGTAAAAATATCATTGCATGTGATATTCTTTTTTTTTTTTTGAGAGGATTGCATTTGATATTCTAATTTACTAAAAATAAAAAAGAATAATTAGATGAAAATGAATTTGATATTAGTAATTGACTGAAAATATAAAAGGATCGCTAATTGAGTGATATTCTATCATTATATATTTTCACCTGAGTAACCCGTCCCGATGGACGGAAGGTGTTAGCTCTAGACGAGGATGGACAAGATTGTATTGGCACTACCAATGTTGTATACAGAGTTGTTTTAATAATGTGTAAATACAATCGTTGATATTATGTTTTTTTAAATGACAAAATTTTTATATATCTAGACAAAAAATATATCTTCCATATATACAAATGAATTAAGATATCAATTCATTCCTATAACTGAGTTGCTAGAGAACGAGCATATTTGCCTAATTTATAAAGAAATACTAAACAATGATAAATAAAATCTCCAAAGTTACAGCATCGCATGTGTACATCTACGCATTAGCTATTAATTTGAGCAATTATTTACTCAAATTCAAGCAATGATAACATCAAAACACATAAATGATTCAAATCACATCTTCAATTGCACTATATAATATTTGATAATTATATATCGATCCAAATATTCTTAATATATTACAACAAACTCATTTCGTGCATCGCACATGCAAAAATACTAGTTATATTAAAATTATAATTGATAATTTGAATAATAATTATAGTATGATTAATATTACTATAGTAAGAATTTTAGATCTGATAAATTAATTACTAAATATGTTTTTTTTAAAAAAATTACTAAATATAATTATAGTAACATTTTTTTTTGGAATGCTACTGCCTCTATTACTAAATATAATTATAATAACATTTAATTAAAATTTAAATAAAATAAAAAAATGAAATCAAACTTATTTCTTAGGGAAAATGGCACTTTTTCCCCCTATGTTATATACTTATAGCACTTTTTCCCCCTTAATTATTTAAATGGCTCTTTTTCCCCCTGAAATGTTAAATGGACATATTTACCCTTAAAATAAATATTTATTCTCCAATAAATTATTACTATAATTTGGTTCAAACCAGATACTATAGTAACCAAACCAAAATATTCCAATTACAATTTATAATCAAAACGCGATATTTAGAGTTTATTAAAATCACGAACTGGAATGGGCGGTTCATGTTCCAAACTGAAAAAATAAAATACATTTATTGTTGAATTTAAACTATTTTAAAATAAAAAATAAAATTTTAAAATAAAGACGGTTCAAAATCGCGAACGGGATCCGGAACCGTCGGTTCATGATCCAGTTTTTTTTTTTTTTTATTCTTAAATTTAATAAATTGAAATCCAAATATTGGGTTCTAGATCTGAATCATAACTGAAAACTTTTAATTCGATTGCTATAGTGTCTGGTTCAGTTCGAACCGAACCGTGGTAATCGCTACATATACGCAATAATTTGTTGGAGAAGTAAAATAAATAAAATGTTTACTTTAAGGGTAGAAATGTCAATTTAATATATTAGGGGAGAAAACCACCACTTTTAAAATAATTGAGGGGACTAATGTGCTTACATAAATAATTGAGGGGGAAAAAGTGCTATAAGTATATAACATAGGGGGAAAAAGTGCCATTTTCCCTATTTCTTATATTACACCAATATATAATGTCTACTTACATTATTACCATTGGAAAATATAAGAAAAGTTATTGTGTATGTATGTGCATGGTAATAATAATGGAAAAGATAATAGAAATTATAACAATAGGAATATTTTTGTCCAAAAAATTGTGTAGTACAATTCTTATAGTATAATATATACAAAATATTAATAGAAAATGGACATAAACCAGTTATATAACATGAATTGAGAATTATTATGTATTATATAAAGTGCAATTGTTATATTGTGAAACGACAATGTTTTTATAAGTTGGTGGGAAGTTGACGTGACGGACACCGTTCCGTCCGTCCAATCCCGTTACAGTTTTTTTTATACTTGTGTTTATGTCTTTTCGATTGAATGTCTATAATGTTATATGACCTGGTTCATGGCTTTAAAATAAACACGTGAAGTAGGAAAGTTTGGACACAAAATACAAAGTCTAAACATAAACATGTGTGACCAAAAGTTTGATGGTGCCCAACTACCACCACGCACTCTCTCAACCTAACGCCCTCCCTCCCGCTACTTCTTCTTCTTCTTCTTCAACACCATCCACCATTCTTGTTTCTATAAATAAATTCCCCATTCTCTTCTCTTTCCCTCACTTCAATCCCTCTAATTCTCCCACCCACCTTACCTTTTTCTGCTTCCTTCAACATGGATCTTCTCCTCTTAGAGAAGACCCTTCTTGGCCTCTTCTTCGCCATTCTTGTCGCCATTGTTGTTTCCAAGCTGCGTGGCAAGAAGTACAAGCTGCCGCCGGGTCCTCTCCCGGTGCCGGTGTTCGGGAACTGGCTCCAGGTCGGGGATGACCTGAACCACCGGAATCTGACCGATTACGCCAAGAAGTTCGGCGACATTTTCCTTCTTAGGATGGGGCAGAGGAATCTTGTGGTGGTGTCGTCGCCGGAGCTGGCCAAGGAGGTGCTCCACACGCAAGGGGTGGAGTTCGGGTCCCGGACCCGGAACGTGGTGTTCGATATCTTCACCGGGGAAGGGCAGGACATGGTGTTCACCGTCTACGGCGACCACTGGCGGAAGATGCGGCGGATCATGACGGTGCCGTTCTTCACCAACAAGGTGGTGCAGCAGTACCGGCGGGGGTGGGAGGAGGAGATCGCCTGCGTGGTGGAGGAGGTGAAGAACAACCCGGAGGCGGCCACCGCCGGGATTGTGCTCCGCCGCCGCTTGCAGCTCATGATGTACAACAACCTCTTCAGGATCATGTTTGACCGGCGGTTCGAGAGCGAGGAGGACCCCATGTTTATGAAGCTCAGAGCTTTGAATGGGGAGAGGAGTAGGCTGGCCCAGAGCTTTGATTACAACTATGGCGATTTCATCCCCATTTTGAGGCCTTTCCTCCGTGGCTACTTGAAGATCTGCAAGGAGGTTAAGGAGAGGAGATTGCAGCTATTCAAGGACCACTTTGTTGAGGAGAGAAAGTAATTAATTAACTAACCCCATTCTATTCTTTCTTGGATTCATCTTCAAGAAATTCATAAAGAATCTGTTTTTATTTTTAGATTTATTTATTAGTCTCTGAGATTCTTGATTTGGGTGTTTGCAGGAAGCTTTCAAGCACAAAGGGCATGGACAACAACAGTCTGAAATGTGCCATAGATCACATTCTTGAAGCCCAGCAAAAGGGAGAGATCAATGAGGATAATGTCCTCTACATTGTTGAGAACATTAATGTTGCTGGTATATATGCTTCAACACTCTCTCACTTTTCTCCTTATATTAAGCTGTTTTTTAATTGATTAAATTACATATTTACATGTCTATTAGTTGACCAAATGAACCCATGGACAAATCCCAAAATTTCTGTGAAGAGCTGCCAATTTGTATGCTTCTGTGAGATACATTATTGAAGTATGCAAATCTAAAATGAGAACAGGAATTTTCAAACTTATGACTTTTGACTAGAACTCTAGAAGGTTGGCTGATTTGTTTTTGTTATTTCAACTCGATTGATTGAATCAAATGCTTACTAGAGCTTTCCTTGGTTGTTTGATTTGGGATTTGGTGATTGTCATGAGCTTTCCTTTGTTATGAAATATATATTTGATATATAGAATCTCTGTATATTAGTCAGTTTAGAGTTTTAGGTAGGTAGTACATATGGAAACTTGTTTCATATGTATTCTCTTTTCTATATGACAGTTTGAGACAATATACGACAGCACATTAGAAACTCTGTCTCTTCACTTTCGTAACACAGCCTGGTGTGTGTGAGATGGTAATATCTCCACATCAGCATGCTAATTGAATGGTTTAGAAATATGGGTTGGTGGCAAAGAACACCTGATATCTCACCTACAAAGCTTGCTTCAAAATTCAAACAATATTATGTTGTTTTACTAATCTTAAGGATCACTCCTGATAGAGACATGTAATTCTTCTGTTTCATGACTAAACTAAACTATTCCTTGAAACCTTAAAGAGATTGTGTTAATTGATTACATAAATACTAATGAAACCAACATCTAAATGCTAATATGATGGTTGCAGCAATTGAAACAACACTGTGGTCGATCGAGTGGGGCATTGCAGAACTGGTTAACAACCCGGGGGTCCAGAAGAAGCTTCGCGACGAGATTGATGCAGTTCTGGGACCGGGAGCTCAGCTAACCGAGCCAGACACCCACAAACTCCCATACCTTCAGGCCGTGATCAAAGAAACACTTCGTCTCAGAATGGCGATTCCTCTGCTGGTCCCCCACATGAACCTCCACGACGCCAAGCTGGGAGGGTACGACATCCCTGCCGAGAGCAAAATCTTGGTGAACGCCTGGTGGCTAGCGAACAACCCCTCGACGTGGAAGAACCCGGAGGAGTTCCGCCCCGAGAGGTTCTTCGAAGAGGAGAAGCACGTGGAGGCGAATGGAAACGACTTCAGATTCCTCCCGTTTGGCGTTGGTAGGAGGAGCTGCCCCGGGATCATCCTCGCATTGCCAATCCTCGGGATCGTGCTGGGGCGCCTGGTTCAAAACTTTGAACTCTTGCCCCCTCCAGGGCACTCCAAGGTGGACACCACAGAAAAGGGGGGCCAGTTCAGTCTCCACATCTTGAAGCACTCCACCATTGTCATGAAGCCAAGGTGTTTTTAATTAACACTTGTGTTCGATCTATTACTTTAATTTTTATGAGGTTGTGAAGGAATTTGTTTTGTTACATGATGATGATGATTGGATTGGATTTTCACCTAGCTTCTTCTACTTTTATTTATTTATAAAATAACAATATCAGTTCAATAAGACGTGAAATCCATGGAATATCTATTCATCATTAGTAGTTCAACTGCAACAAAATTGCTCGTGTTTACCCAAATCATGGACAACCTCTATATATATATATACCCTTTGGACACTCTTCCTATCTGTCCCCAACCTAAAAGAGTAAGGGGGCGTTTGGTTCAGGTTATATAAGATAACCAAGGGAATGTGACATTCCAAAGCTCACATTTCGGTGTTTGGTTCATATTATCTCAGGGAATCTAATATTCCCAAGGAATGTCACATTCCCTCCACATAGGATTTTGAAGGGAATGTGATTCCCTTCAAAATCTTAGGTAATCTAAGATAACCTTGGTTATGTTAGTTATATATATATATATATATATATATATATATATATATATATATATTTGTAATTATATATATATTTTTTTATTTTTATTATGTTATGTTAGTTTATAAAATAATTTTGTTTCTCAAGTTCAAGATTTTAGTTAATATTTTAAAATCATGTGATTATATATGATACCATTATCTTATTTATTTATTTTAATTTTTAAATTTATTAAAATATATGAAAATATGTTAAGGATATTATAGTGTGTATAAAAGATAACCCTAAACCAAACATCATTATATTACATACCCCAATTTTAACCAAACACAGGAATCTAACATTCCCAGCAATCTAACATTCCCTAAGATAATCTTACATTCCGTGAACCAAACGACCCCTAAAAGGTATCCTACAAGATTACATTTCTGTACATAATACTCATCCCTAAATTAGTATACACTAATAAACCTATCAATCTTACATCCAACTCCACTTGGATTTTTATTTATTTATTTAATGTTTTTTTTTTAATGCAAATAGCAAATTGTAAGATTTCAAATCTTGCAATTCTTTCACATACTATTTATTGTACTTTTTTTATTAAAAAAAAAAAAAAAAACTTTTGGCTGTGTTGTGTACTATTACATTTTTAATAATAGTAATAATTCATTGAAGACCGTCGAGGGATTTTGAGTGCTAGAAGAGTTAGTGAGGATCCGTAGCGGTTCTTCTTGGATTCTCCCTTCGTATACCATCATCATCATCATAATAATAATAATAATGGAATAATATAATATTCCATATTATTATTATTATTATTATTATTATTATTATAAATAATATTGGTCAATGAAGAAGAAATCTAGCAAGAAAGTAGAGAGTAAAAGCTGCGTGAAGTTGCAACTGTCAAGGAATTACTTTATAAAGTCTCACGCATTCAGTCCTAAATATATAATCTCTCTTTTACGTATATATTCTTCTCCTACTTTCATTCCATGGCCATGGCCAGCATATGTACATGTACTACACCTACAGAATATAATAAATAATTTTGGCTTGACTTAGCCCAAAAAAGGCATGTAGTTTTTACTACTTTGATTTTCACATTAAATCCTTGTGTTATTGTTTATTGATTCTCTGAATCACCTTATTATCATTCCTCATTTCTTTATGGAGAATTCTATTTTTTCCATCAAATAATAATAATAATAATAATAATAATAATAATAATAATAATAGAAAAAATTATAATGGATTACAAATATGTTGATATGGAAGTACAATATGCTTTTGAAAATGAGAGAAAAGTGCATGGATAGAAATAGAAAAGGTTCCTATATCCCTAGAAAATTATTCTCTCACTAATCCCAAAAAAAAAAAAATTGTCCATTTCTATAAATACAACAATGTTATTATTTCATTAGTCAAAGTATCATTTAAATAAGAATTAAATATTTTGTACTCTTTAAATTTACGATGCTTTTATTATAGGTCAAAAAAATATATTTATATCTTAAAAAGATGATTATGTGAATAGAACATGATTCTCGTATTATTGATTATTCTTTCAAAAGGAAGAACTTCAACCCCCGTATCATTCTTCCAAAAAGGCTGAACCCCAACCCTATGTAAATCATGGTGACTCAACTGAACATGAACCATAGAGGCTAGACCGATGCTCACTGCGCACAAGGACTCAACTGAACATGAACCATAAAGGCTAGACCGATGCTCACTGCACACAAAGACTCAACTGAACATGAACCATAGAGGCTAGACCGATGCTCACTGCGCACAAGGAGCCCCCCTCACTGCCCCCCCCCCCCCTCACTTTAAGAGGTTGCTCCCACACTGCCGCTGGTGAGACTCGATCCCTGATCATTCTTTCAAAGTTTCACTTCTATGACCAGTTGAGCTACCCATGCGGGTAAAGTATCCGTATCATTGATTATGTATAAACAGAATGTGCGTCTAGTAAAAGTTTGCAATGTAACATGCATGACATTCCAATTATTTTATGACACTTTAATAAGGAAAGGGGATATGAAAATGTAATAATTTGGGACAATGTTGGTAATAACTAATATAACTAGTTATACTTATGTGATTGTATTAAATATAATTCAGCATTGTTGCCTTAAATAAAACTTATAAAATATATCACATTCAATAATTTATTCATTAATTTCCTCAACTGCACTAACAACAATAAAATGTTCTGATTTTATTTAATCAACTTTACAAGACAATTAAAAGTTAAAGTTGTTAAATACTGAAATCAGACCAACACAATACCCCTCCCTTATAGAAATCAAGAAGCAAAGTAGTTATTTAAAAAAGATAGCTAAGTGGGTGGAACATAATATTTTTATCAAAAAGTCATGAGTTAGATTTTTGTTATTATTTCTCTTTTGGTGAAGTTTATTGCACAATTTTTTGTGTAGTGACGACAAGATAGTTCAGTATTTGTTCTAAACTTTTTTAATCATTTTCAGCTCAAAGAATCAATATTCCCAGAGTTTGACCTTGTAGCCACACATTTGAAATGATAATAATGATAATAAAATATCATTACACTACATAGTAGTTGGTAGGTCATAAACTTATTGTTTTGTGAAAAAAAACAAGTAAAATGTAAATGGTTAGAGCTTCTCCTTTTGAGTTGTTATACAGTTGACCATGATTTGTGTTAGACTAATGTACTTTATGTGTTAGAATAATATACTTTATTGGTGTAATGAAATATCTGAGGTAAAATAATGTATTTTATGATTTAGAATAATGTACTTTATGAGTTAGAATAATATACATTATGAATTATAAAAATATATGTTGCAGCGAGTTGCGTAAAAAAAAAAAATTACAAAATGACATTGTTTTTGGACCGTGATCTACACAACAATAACTGTTAGCTACATAGGTCATGGTCTACAGTAAAAGACAAATTATGCTGTGCAACCGAATGCACCTTGCAAGGTGCATACGGTTGCAAAACGGCGCCGTTTTGGTTAAAAAAAACGCGCGTCCCACTTAAAGAAGAAATCAGGTTCGATTCCCGGCAATAGCATTTTTATATATCCAGAAATTCATAACTATATATCCAGAAAGAACTAATTTCACTTTTGGTCCCACGACTTTAGAGGTTCTATCATTTTTGGTGCACAACTTTAAATTTTTTCAATTTTGGTGTCTAACTTTGTTATTTTTATCAATTTTGGTCCTTTCGACCAAATTGATTGCGAAATATTGCTGAATTTTACATTTTAGGGGCAAAATCGTCATCCCAAGAAAAGATATTCAATATCTAAACAAAAGAAAAATCATGTTAAGAGAAATATAAGAGTTTGGCAATCGTCGATGCTATAAATCTCATAGATCTGTGTCTAGTTTCTGTCCGTCTTCCCAATTATTCTCATCGATCAAACACCTATAGTCCTATAGATATGATTTTAGAGTGATTTTGTTTAGATATTGAAGATGTTTCCTTGGGATGACGATTTTACCCCTAAAAATATAAAATCCGGCAATATTTCGTCGTCAATTTGGTTGAAAGGACCAAAATTGATAAAAACAACAAAGTTAGACACCAAAATTGAAAACTTTTAAAGTTGTGCACCAAAAGTGATAAATCCTCTAAAGTTGTGGGACCAAAAGTGAAATTATATATCCACGGTGAATGAATGAAGTAAAAATCCACAATGAATGAATGAATGAAGTAAAAATCCACAATGAATGAACTAAATATCCACAATGAATGAACTAAATATCCACAATGATTGAACTAAATATCCACAATGAATGAACTAAATATCCATAAATTCATAACTATATATCCACAGTGAATGAATGAAGTAAATATCTACAATGAATGAACTAAATATCCACAATGAATGAACTAAATATCCATAAATTCATAACTATATATCCACAAATTTATAACTATATATCCAAAAATTCATAACTATATATCCACTGGTAGGGAATACCCCGACCGACATAGCTTTACCCCGACCGAGGTGCCTTCGTCCTTTCCTCTTTGTCTTTGCAGGTAACAGGTCGGGCTTCACGTGAAGAACTCGGTCGGGGTCCGACCGGGAGTTGCCCGAGCGGCAGCCCTTTGGTGAGAGAGCTGACGAAGGACACGTGGCAGCTCTTTACGACGACAGACAGGGCACCCGGGAGGATGACACGTGGAGGCTACGTGGAGAGCATGCCGAGCGACCGGATTTGTGTCTCCGGCGCAGCGGCTATAAATACCCACAGTAGCTACAGTGTAGTGGACTTTTGGACGATCGATAGGTTGTTGTTAGAGAATCCCGACCGCAGTCAGTCGGCACTCAGAGCAACCAAGTAGATTGTACTTAGGGCCTTTACCGTGATCAATAAAGATATTTACTTGCTTTAATTGGTCTCGGGTTTATTTAATTATTGCTTACGTAGAATTAGCAGTATCATTTTGGCGCCGTCCGTGGGGACCCGTGCAAAAAAGCAACGTCTTGACGAGCACCCGGTCTCTTTGCAACAATGTATCCGTGGGCATACAATAATTTCGCTGATGACCAGGCGGATGCAGCAAGCTCATCCGATCACCAAGCCACCCAACAGCAAGGTCAGACGATGGATTTGAATCTCAATCTCTCACCATCGCATCCATCAAACACATACCCGGCCGCCCAACAGCCGGTGAACTACATTCAACCAGGGTACCCAACACCCGG